CCAATTTTGTAGACGTTACACAAGATCCAATTTAGTCGAGGGGATGGTAGAGAGAAGCCCATTACAATAATCAATATGGGATAGAACTAAAGAACATGCAGCATTATGCCAGGCAGACTGGTCAATACTCCTTAAATATTCCTTAAATAAAACGTAACAATACTACAGATGTGAGAAATATGGTGAGACATCGACATGCAAGAATCAAGTACAACGCCAAGGTTTCTTATTGTTTTTGAAGGACAAATCGTTTTTCCTATTTTACTTATCGGATTTGTTGGGGGTTAAGTGGAAATCTTTCAATTAGAACGCTTCCGAAATTGCAGGAATACGAAACATGTCCAGAGGCTTTCGAACTCAAGAACCGCGAAAATGTGTCATGTCTTATTGTTTCCTTTGAACCCGTATGTGAGTAGTTTCTTGCTAAGTCCTCATGATAACTAAGGCTGCATAAAACATCAGGAAGGATGCTTGTTGTTGATAGGGTGAAATTCTTTGGGGAGAGACTTTGGATATTTATGGGATCGTTTCGGGCCATTGATCACGATGTCGTTGCTTCTTCGAAAGAGACATCGGACTACATTGTCGTATCGATGTTTTGGTATTGTAAGGAAAACAAATCGTGTTAGTCCATTCTGAGAAGCTTGGTAATGATTTATTCTCCTGAGAAACCGGATGTGCATCAACGATCTCAATCATTTCCTAGTTTCACCACCTCTTTCTTTTCTTCTTCTGGCTTATAGCACTGCAGAGAATTGCCATCCCTTTCTCAATTCCTTCTTCATTATACACCTCTCTTTCTCTCCCTCTCTCTCTCTCTCTCTCTCTCGCTCTCTCTCTCTCTCTCTCCCTCAATCTCTCACTATGAATATGACGGACAAAGAAAGAGGACAAAATATACAGTTCCTCAGGTAGACAAAGGAACACCCCTTTACTGCTATTATGTAAAAATGTATAGAACAGGTGTTAGATGCATATTCACCTGTTTTACACATTTTTACATAATAGCAGTGAAGGGATGTTCCTTTGTCTACCTGAGGAACTGTATAATGTTGTCCTCTTTCTTTGTATGTCATTTTCATAGTGTCTATCTTCTCGTCCATCGCTTTATCACAATTTCATTATCTTCCCTCTTCATTCTTCCTCAACCCCCTCCCACCAGCATAAATATCCTTTGACTGTCGATCTACCCGTATGTTCTCTGCTCTGTCATAAACGCTACGTACTTTCCCTTTTATCTCCCTACATGAATGTCACTGGCCTATTGAAGGCTCTTCAGATTGGCTGACGACGATAGATCATTTTCTCAAGTGCCTAGAGCCTTGATTAAAAAATGTAGGAATTGGAAAAGGGCTTTATGTGCAAATCATAAAATACACCAGTATAATACGTTCATGTCAGTATTCCATCTCAAAGAGTTGGCATTCGTGTAGCCGATTCTTAATAACTTGCTGTCACGACTATATAGGAATAATAACAATATTCACCTTAATGTAGCACTTAATACTACCTTTCTCCTTCTCCAGTCGGTATCTATCTTGCTATAAACGTTAATGGGGACTGAAGCATACTCCTTACCGAATGTAAATATAAAAAATTCTTCAAGCAATAATTGACCCAAAACAGAGTCATCACAAAGCACTAAAACATCCTAAAACTACACCTTTGATTATCATCCCATTGAATAAAAAACAAATCACTGTATAACGCATGGATTTTAATAAAGGAAGTATTGTATAAGGTTTCACATCGTCTAGTATTTCAAATATGTTTAAACCGTTTCACGCGACAGCCGTAACAATAATGAGGATGATTTAAAACATATATGAAGAAGTTACTACATAACATGTTATCATCTACTATAGATGTAGTCTGGGGCCGCGGGCAGAGTTCTTATTGTCATCACTCATTCCGAAAAAGACAAACCCCGGCTGTTTCTATTATTTTGCTTTCAACTTAATAATTCTGTAATATCAATTTCCCTTTCTCTCTCTCTTTCCTCCTTTCTTACTCTGTCCCTATCTCTCCTGCCTCCCTCTCTGTATCGCTTTCATTTACCCTCTTTCTTACTCCCCATCTCTCAGTCCATCTCACTGCTACTCTGTCTCTCTCTCTCTCTCTCTCTACCGCTACTTATCTCTCTATATTTTTCTCCCTCTCTTTGCTATAAGTTCTCTTTCATTCTCTTACTTCTATAGCTTGTGTGTCTCTTCTATCCATCAGTAATTTATCATGAATCATTATTTCCGATGTGTCCACTCTTAATTCAAATTCCATGGTCACTCTGCATTCCACCTGTCATAAAGACACGAACAAAAAGCCTCATTCATTTAATAGCATAAATGGATGAATTAATAACAATAAATGTGCTAATCCTTCTTAAAAGTATTCTAGTGGCATAAATAACAAGATACATGTATCTCACATTCCTACAGAGCCATGATAAACACATTAACAACTTTTCATTGTACTCAGGCAACCTTTTAACAGCCTTAGAAAATATTCACGATGTCAGAATTCTCCCCTTTTCCAGAAAACACTAACTACGTCACCACTGGTAATCTAAGAAATGGGTCTATATCCGGAAAGATTTCACGCCTTTAGGGTGAAAAATGGTATTCCCTTCGGACTCATGTTTAGATTCAACTCCATCAAATCATCAATTAATGATCAAAATATCTTCCATCAAACATCTATCATTAGAGTCACTGAACAAGCTAAGACTAAGAAAAAGGAAACGAATAAAATACTAGACATTTGTTGTTGAAATGATAGCAATATTTCCTTGCAAGGGTTTTCTGATGTCAATTAGCATTAATATTTAAACTGATGCAACCCTGCATCTGGGGTGTAGAGGGCGGGGGGGGGGGGGGGGGAGGTAGTTTGTCGAAGCAACTTTCCACGAGCGTTTAATATACACTTGGTAATTTCGGTAAACAATTATTTGTTGAAATTATCATCAATTGTATTAATATTGAATCAGACTTGAGTCTGCGTGTACGGTGTGGGTAACCATCACATTAATCTTAACCTTTATTGCTAATCTGGCTACCTATCAGGTACAAACATGTATAAACTTAAAAGTAAACAACTTTCTCATGCGCTCCGCTTCTGATGAAAAGGTGAAAGCCGTCTTTTATTCATTGTATACATTTTTTCGGTGGCTAATTCCCACTGCTTCGATTATTCCCGGTCGTATTAAAGGAAATCGCACCTCCTGACCAAGAAATAGGGTAGTGTAGTAAGGGAAGGTGAAAACTAATTACTTTTTCTCTGACCAGGTTTTACAGGTTAGGTGTTAACCCTTTTGAATGTTGATTTGATACTACGCCAGATTTGAAATTCCACGAATCAGCGCGTTTGGTATGAGGCAACACGTTTCTTTTCAAGGGTACCTCAGTCAGTATCTCCATATTCAACTCACGAGCACGATGTCGAGATTTGTAGTTGCATATAATTCATTTTATATGCTACACTTCCACTTTAAAACACGTCATGCACCGCACACATGTTTGCCGATAGTACAGGACACAGACATAATCTTGAGTTCGAAATAGAGAGAGTAGGGCAAGATGTGAGAGGGAGAGAGTGAGTGACTGAGAAAAAATGATGGAGAGATGTAAAAGAAACATAAATGGAAAGGTAAAGGGAAATATTAGATGGTGGCAAGAAAAAAGATGATTAGAAAAGAAAAAGTGTGTGCGCGCTAGTGTGCGTGTGTGTGTGTGTGTGTGTGTGAGAGAGAGAGAGAGAGAGAGAGAGAGAGAGAGAGAGTGAGAGAGAGAGAGAGAGAGAGGGGATGGGGACGTGAAAAATGTAGATAGGTTTGAGATATCACACCCCCTCACTGATTATATCTCTATGACAACCAAATGATAAACTATCCATCTTGAATTTAAAACGTAGCTTTGCATTTTCATAACTCATCAGTTTACCATTTTCTTGCGGTAGTAGAAATAAAGCATTTAAAAAATGGTCACACTATGTTGTATTCAAGCTTGTTCTTTAGTTTCAACATTGGGACGAGCCTAATCATAGACGAAGGTCTTTGATTTTGCTGTAAACTACTCAACTCCAGCGTCATCAAATAAAAATAAAAAATCTACTACTAAGTAATAGAAGACTACTTCAGTATACTACATCTATGTAAAAATGTATAATTGTTGATTACGTTGATCTGATTTTGTTTCCCATTGTAATATATCGATATTTACGTTTCCACTTGCGAGATATGCAATTTACTCTAAATAGTCCGAATAGAATGCGTCAAGAAACCAGATATTTCCAGAATCTATGCCGTGTCAACTGTTTGGGTCATGTTTATTCAGCACTCTCAAAATATAGATAATATTAGCCTTGGGAGACTTGTATTCAGAAGTAGAACATTCTATGGATTATTAGTTTTTTAGGTAATTATAGTGACTCCTTAGGAATTACGTCCCAATGAATTATTGATGGACGAATCCTATTTTCGAAAAGGGAAAAGAATAAAAGAGTAGGATGGAATAGTTAATGAAGAAAAGAAAAGAAAGAAGGATGTGATGTGTTACTGACACTATGGTAATCTTAGCCGGAGGAAGGTTTCAAGTGTATAATGATTAAATCAGATAAGTTGAATTCCAGGATCTTATGACTCGTTTCTGCTTGGCGTTTTTCTTTGAACGCGTTGCAGTTCTAATGGCACTTTCCATCATGTGTATTTTCTGAATTTCTCGTGCTTTTCCCCTTTCTTTCCCTCTCCTTTTTCTTTCATTACAGTTTTTCATTTCATTCTGATAGTTCTTCATCTTGCATTTAACAAGCTTCATTTCATTCTTCGGAATGTTGATACTTTAGAACAAACAAAATATATTTTTAATTTATCTATTTTATGAATGGAGCTAGTGTAAAAAATACACCTTATGCTTTGAAAGTCAGTAACCCTGTAAATCGCCATTTATCGTGATCATCATCATCATCATCAATATTCACTAATGACTGTCCGATTGTATTTCTGACAGGTTTAAGAAGATGCATAAACGTGATCAACTACTCGTTCGCTAACCTTGCTTTAGCTGATCTACTTGGGCTTCTTGTCGACGCCTTTCCCGCCATCATACTGACTCTACAAAGCCATTCACTGAGCGATCCAGGGTGTAGAATGCTACTCTTTCTGCCATGGGTAAGTTTACAACTAACAAAATGGTCTTTTTCCGCGCACTTTAAGAAGCCAAATTCCTTGTTTCACTTCGAATTATGTATGCGTGGGTAGGAGTGTGTGTGTATGTGTGTGTGGCGTGGAAGGGGGGGGGGGGGAGGGGGGGGGGAGGGAGGGGGGTTTGTCTAACCTATTATGAAGTTTTTACAAAGAAAAAAAGCTCAGATACTCAGATCCTGCAGGGAAATCTGTAAAAGGCATTAGATTTTAAATCCAACCAAAAATGTGCATTAGATTGAAATAAAGCTACTGTTTAAAAAAAGAAAGCAATGAAAGACAGCGAAAGAAAAACACAAAAACAGTACTTTATATACATGAAACTTTTATCTGAGCCTGCCTTTATCATTTAAAGGAAGTCTGGAATAAAGGTGGAAAACAAAACCTGAGTGAAATAAAAACTTTATAGTTTACATATTGTGTATCCGTCTCTCATCTAAGTGCGTTGGTTGAAATTGAAGATGTGCTATACATGTAACTCTCACGTTTTAAGTGTTCGGGCAGCTTACACATGTTTACGATTTCACGACTTCAGAATCTCCGCCATACAGCTACATACATGGTCCTTTATGAAGTTGTCACATTTCAAATTGAAGACCCTATTCCCTGATGATGTACAAAACAAAATTGAGCCATATCTGAGCGTTACTCTGTAAACACATAGGAAGCAGCAATTCTCTCTTACAGAGCTTGAAGCGTACGAATATTGGGATGGAAATAGAATTTGTAAAGAAGTAGACGATGAATCTTCAACACCTTAATGTCACTCTACTGATGTTCATTTCAACTCGATTTGATTGATGGATTAATTGTCGTTATTTCTGATACTAGTGCTTGCTGTGAACGAGGCAGATGTGTACATTGTTTTGTTCTACAAAAAAGAAAATGAATAAAAGAAAATGTCATTTGCAAGAAAGATTACCGTTTAATGAGTTTTTATTCATAATGTCGTTTATCAGAAACTCAACCTCAATCATGTCATTACCCTCCTTATATAATTTATTTCTCTCTCTCTCTCTCTCTTTCTCTCTCTCTCTCTCTCTCTTTCTCTCTCTCTTTCTCTCCTCTTTCTCTCTCTCTTTCTCTCTCTCTCTCTTCTCTCTCTCTCCGTCTCTCTCTCTCTTTTTCTCTCAATCTCTTCTCACTATGCGTCTCCTTCATTGTTTTACTTTTCCCCATGGCTCCTCTTGCTCTTTCTGTTCTCCTTTTTCTGTATCTTCCCTTCTATCTTTCTACATTTTCTCAACTCTCTCTCTCGTTACCCCTATCCCTCACTCCCTCCCCCACCTCTCTCTCTCTCTCTCTCTCTCTCTCTCTTTCTCTCTCTCTCTCTTTCTTTCTCTCCCTCTCACATTCCCTCTATACCATCCTTCCTGATCCTCTTGATCAAGCGTCGTCACGCCAACTGGCCCTTTATTCTGTATTCGATTCATTATATAAGAAGATCGGCGTTAGTGCACGTCAATGTACACACATTCTTCTCGATGCCCCCCCCCCAGAAAAAAAAGAGAAAAGATAGAGAAAGTCCTTGAGGCAAAAATGAACTTCCACAGAGGCTGTTAGTTAATCGGCTTTTTACGGTATAATCCTAACTGATTTTATTTTTCTACTATAGAGTGGTACAGTGATTGTGCAGAGAGAGAGAGAGAGAGAAAGAAAGAAAGAGAGGGGAGGAGAGAGAGTGTGTGCGTGTGGGGTTGTGCGTGTGTGTGTGTGTGTGTGTGTGTGTGTGAGGTGGGGAGAATGAGAGGGGATGCGAGAGGGGGACAGAGGAGAAGAGAGAGAGAGAGAGAGAGAGAGAGAGAGAGAGGTTCCGAAGAGGAAGAGAAGTAGTATTGTAGTTGATTTATTTTGAGGTCCATTAGAAGTAAAATAAATATTCGATATAGATATAAACAAAACAAAATGTAAGCGGGTGGATTGCCCATATTCAGCCGTACCAGACATGACAGAGCTGGTCTTGTAAGTAATGATAAAAAAGATTGAAATAAAAATCCTTGAGAGTTAACTTCTTTACTATGACCGGTTTCAATTCTATTTCTACAGAAAAAAAAAATTACAACAAACAAAACCACATGACTTTCTTAATACTGACTTTAGTCTACCTTATTATATAATAATTATGACTAAAGACAAACAAAAGAGAACGAGTGAGAGAGGTGGAGAGGACTGGATGGAGTAGAAGGAGAAGAATAGGGTACCGCTTGTGGCTAAGTTAATAGCGAATAGTAATTATGTTTGATAGTTCGAAGAGGCTATCGGCATTGTTTGCAAGAGCAACACAGTGATGAGACAATCATCTTGAAGTGCCACTACAACACTGTGCACCGGCACAGAGTGAATGATGATGTGCCTGACCAAATGTTCATACAATATTGCGAACAGAAAACCATTTGTTTTCGTTCATTAGTTCTTCTGAACATTCCATTTGCCAACAAGAATAGAAAAGCTTCTTATGGATAGACCGACAGCACTATTCGGTGAAGGAGAGAGTAATAAAGCACATCATTTCCCTGTACCATATACACGAGATATAGACGAGATAAGCATATGCATATCGAGAAAAAATATAATACGTTTACGTGCTTGCCCATCCATTAAACCAATCAAATTACCTAAAACCCTCGACAGAGCTCAATTTGACTTTATATTCAACAGTCCCCTCTGTCTACAGGTATACTCGACTTTAGCAAACAATGAATTTGTTACCACGGTTTAAAGAAGGAGGAGGAGAAGAAGGAGAAGAAGAACAACAACAACAACAACAGCAACAACAACACCAGCAACAAGAATAACAAGGAGAAGAAGAACAGAAAGGAGAAGAACAAAAAGGTGTAGAAGTAGAAGGAAAAGACTCAAGAAGAAAAAGAAGAACAAAAAAAGGAGAAGAAAACAACAACAAAAAGGAGAAAAAAGAAGGAGAAGAAGAAGATTTTGTGTTGTTGCAAAATAGAGGTGCTACAAATCCCGTTTGGTGAAAGCACATTTAGTAATCTCATTTTATAGAACAACATAAAATAGGGAATGAGGGAAAACGGCGCAGACATTTCAGAAAATTAAATAATAATAATAATAATAATAATAATAGCTCGTTCTTATATAGCGCTTTTCAGGACCGGAGGCCTCACAAAGCGCATATCACATATGTATCGATTTGCCATGATAATCCATCCACATGCAGGGTAGGCGGATGTATTCATGTATTTCCCACCAGGTAAACATCAGATTATGGAAACAGCAGAACGTCGGTGTCCATTTCTACAATAAACTCTAAATCATTTTTAGAGGAAATTGGAAAAATCACGAAAAGTGTTCATGACTTATTCAAACTTATGTTAATCCTCTTCAAGGATGTGTACTCGTTCAATGAAACCAGTGAAAGGCTGCTCAAATGATAACGAAAATTATTTCGCTTTCCAAAACAATAAAATATACATCATAAGGAATGTTTTGGTAAAGCGATCATTGTTGTTGCTTTATCCAATTTCGCAAAACTTAGGCTGCTTGAATCAAGCTAAAAACGGGTACATGCTTATACGTTGGCGAACGTAGCCCCAGCTATCGCTTACAGTTTTACGGGTAGATTAAATAAATTGGTGGCAAATCGAATTGAGGCCAAAGACTCCGATTTTCTTGCATACACACCTCTTAAATGAATGTTACCGATTGAAAGAGAATGGTCTCATTTGGAACATGAAAGGTTAGGAACAGGAGACGATGAAGAAAAAGAAATCCTGAAAATTTGAAAATATTAGAGGAGGAAGACGAGGGGGAGAGGTTGAGGAGTAGGCGGAACTAAAATTAGCCATGAAGGAATGTTCAACATGATCAAGTGGTGTAAGTGTAAGAAAAGTTCAGTAGGAATAAAAGGGCAAGGTTGAAGGACGGGGGGGGGGGGGGGGGGGGGGAGAGGGGAGATTTTTTTGTTCTCAAGCTTCTGTGCCAGCCTCTGTGCCAGCCTCTGTATCTTATATTCTGAGTCGACCTTTGGATTAGCTCACAACTTTAATTGTGAACGAACAAGATGAATTAAAAATACATCCCACAAAACCAATTTGCATTTTTTAATACTTCCATCTCTTGAATTTGTTCAGTGTAACGAAGGATGACCTCCAATTTTCAGATAACAATACACAGATTTTCTAACTATAATTCTTGTCGTTCACAACGTTTTTATCCGCTGTCGGAAGAAAAAAATGTCTATATTGTGCACAAATTGTAATTGAGTTTCGAAACAATGGTTTATCCAGTACTGGTGAAATTCGACGTTACCCCCACCCCTCCCCTGTTTCAACGCAAAAGAAAGTAGTTATCAATCTTGTTATGGCTCTAAAGTCTGAGGCACCCGGATAACCAGGTACATTCCAACCCCTCTCCCTGGAAGATTCTGCCCTCTATATATCAGCTTCTAGCTGGATACTCATTTAGCTCAGATAAGCCTTCTGTGGGCTAAGGATTATTAATTTCCATCAGTATTACTCACATGCCATCTCCGTAACAAGAGTGATCTATCTTTGCGGGGTCACTAATGACAAAATGCATTATAATGTCAATATCATATGAAACAAATATAAATATATGTATATAATATATGTTTCTAGGTTTTTATTCACTTTAACGTTAGGATTTAAAGCCGCGATGATACTGTTTTAGAAAATATCTGCATTAAGCGATTCGGATGATAAAAAAGACCTGTATCATCGGAATCACTGACTCAGAGTAAATATAAGAATGGTATACTTTGTATTTGCTGGCAATTTAGTAAATATTATAAGTACTATGCCCACATACCTATATAGGCCGATGTGTTCCAGAAGTGAATGTCAAATAAAATCCCCCCCCCCCCCTATCGTAAAAAAGGTAAAATAAAAACATATTAGAAAAATAGAAGAGCAAAAGAAAGGGGGAAAGGAATAGAATAGAGTAGTGTCGTTGGTCTTATTATTTTGCATTTTATTCACCGGATA